CGGAAAAGCTGATTGTAAACCGAAAGGTTCCCAAAAGGGCCTGGTTGTGAGATTACCCTCTGTACAGCCATGGGTAAGCTTGAAAAGGCAGGGAGATCAGGGACTTGTGCGCAACTCTGAAAACAGTTTTTTGGTGTTTTGATGCTGTTCCGTGCATGTCATTGTCAGATACCTGTAGCAATTATCAGAATTGTCTTATTATTTCCCGATGATTGCACTTGCTGTCATGTAGATTTTCCGACGATTTTACCACCATTTTTGCATGAGTTGATCATAACGATGTCACGGTTCTTCACCGATTTCCCGAAATTATTTTCCGCCAAAGCTTTGCCTAGGCCGTGGCCGACAAGTTTGCTTGCAACGTTCGGTGTGCCAGCCTCTTAACTTGTTGAGACACACCAATGTTCTCTCTATATGTATTTGCTTAAAATGTGTACTCGTAATCTGTGGTGTTGGGAGCGATCTGGTTGAATTTGTCACACACTGAATGTTGGTGCGTTAGGGTTGCTTCTGTACGTCTTTCTGTATACACATACACGTATCATATACCCAGCATATACCATGCTATAGCCATCATTCAACATCTTCCAGATGTTGACTTTCTATAGTTATGTTAGTTATATATATATATATAGAGTCCCATTTTCAATCCCTATTAAGCCCTATTCAACCACTAACCAGTGTATCATCTAATGATGATTGTATATATATATATATAACCATCTGATTGTACCACCGCTTCTGGAAAGGACACGGCGACCCATCACGGCCGAGCTGAAAGATGTCTTGGGAGTCGGGCGACGCAGCGGGTTGCCTGCATTTTGTCTATAAAATGGTCCTTGTTACTTATTCCTAGGTCCTAACCTAATGATCTTTTCATGGGTTTGTGGGTTTGAATCGTTTTAGGGGTTTCAATCGCTGTTCATTTTCGTTTAGATCATGTAGAATCAAAACCTACTCAAAATTGGACGCTTTCTCGCGGCATCTGTATCTAGAGGGTCTTTGAACTTGAGGTGTTGCTCCTTTCCGGAACCGGTTTTGCGAATGAAAGGACTTACGAAAAAACAATTTGTGCAACCAGTCTTGCGCTTAGTTGCTTTTTTTTCAACCTGCTTCCAATTGTGTTCTGGTGGCTACGGCCGCGAAGACTGCAATGTCGCATGCTCCACCGAACATGTTTCACCCATTTGCAGGGACTGTACTCTGTCTCATTGCTCGCCTGTGATCGTGATCAAGCTGATGTCCATCGCTTCAGCAGGTGGGTAGCCATCGCATTTGGACGCTAACGCGTCGCGGGTGTTGCCGTTGTGGGTCTAGCGCCGCCCATGGCTCCCAAATTTGTCTTCAAGCATTACCTGAAGCCGCAGGCTGCCGGAAAGACCACAACCAACATTCGTGCATCACAGTTGAGTCCAAAGCCAGCGACCAGTGCCAGCATAGCACGTTCAGAAGCACCAGTGGAAATATCTGTGCTGCAGTACATTGGTCAGGCAGGTGCTATCGTCACTGGGTTACCAGAGCCGTTGCATGATCAGCCGCTCTACCAGGTGCAGCTTCGTCATGACGCGCGGCCGTCTCTGCTCATGAAAACGATCCTCAACTTCAACAACTACTTGGCCGACTTGCACTCCCAGCAGCCCGGGGTCCCCTCCTCGCTGCAACACCTCCGCGATGAGGGCATCCAATTGCAGATCGTCAACAGCCAGCGAGACAGTGGCCCAATGGTGCCATGGCGGATCGCCTTCTACGTGACCGGGGATGTTCCCGCCTTAGTGAATGCTCTCCAGCTCATCGACTCGTTCCTTGATTGGCGTGGAGCGCACGTAGCAGAAGGCGAGGCCGCATTTCCACCACAGACCCAAGTTCAACTGATGGTGCCATCCAGCCTCCACCAAGCTCTGAGCCAAGAGACCTGGACGAACAGCACGAGCATCACCATTCCTCCTCGGTTTTCACCCTTCCAGGCGGCCCCGCCATCTGGACATCACCTGCAGTTTGTGATTGAATGTGCCACAGACGGGATAGTCCTGCAAGGCACCTTTCTAGGCTGCACATGGCCTTTTCGGCGCGAATTGGAGGAGCATGGTGTGCTTGGCGCACGCACCGCCGACGATCAGTATGTCAGAGTGGTGGAGCTGTTGGATGCCACCAAACAGGCGGATCGTACCTGGCTGCTGGCAACGATTCTTCGAGATGTTCTGAAAGAAATCGTGCTTGGCGTGGAAGTCATTGAGCGGCCACCTGACGATTCCCCAGCCGCAGACTTTCTTGGCTTGATCATGGATCTTCCACAGGTGTACTTGCTGCCGTGACTTCACCGTGTTATGTTCCCAGGCAGTGCTCTTGCAGGAGCCGGCTACTCTTTTGCCTTTCAGAGAAGCTGCTCAGCACCTTCACTCATCCGGGTGCTTTGCGGGAACTTTTTTTTTCAATGACATGTAGCCCCGTGCATACAGCGTTTCCTCCACAAGAGAGGCTCCACAGCCGCAAGCTGCAGATCAAAAGCATCTTCATCTTTGTTGAATTTCGGCTACCCAAAACTGTAGGCCTTTCTTCTGACTGTAGGCCTTTTCAATAGCTAGCTGAATTTCGCCTCGTTTTCCAAAGGCCAGTTTTTTGTGGATCTCGGGGACGCCAGTCTTCCCAGGCGCTGGGCGGATTGAAGTCCGGAGCCATGAAGCTCATCGTGGCCACTGATGTAGCAGCACGAGGGATTGACATCAAAGGCGGGGAACCAGAATTCCTTGTTGTTCCGGCAAAATTCCTTACTGGTGCTTAGTAGGGAATGAGGGAATGGGATTATTTTTTTTGTTATCATGGATATCTATGGATCATTCATTACTAAGCACCAGTAAGATTCTCAAGTCATATCCCTTGAAAGTATATAGATCACCAATAGGTGACATGAAGGGATAACGATGCTAAACCAGTGAATGAATGGGGCGACATTGTTAGACGAAGCCGAATGGACCGTGACGTTGGACATGACCCAGAAGAAGGGTTCCACATAATTTGGTTAACTATGGTTTATCTCCATCATATCGTATCATATCCATATCCATATCTATATCTCCATATATCCATATATCCATATATCCATCTATCCATATATCCATATATCCATATATCCATATCCATATTTTTCTTCAGTGAAATCCACATCTGTTGGATGTTTTTTTTGACGGCCCGGCAGGTGCTGCGCTTCAACTTCGATGTGGAGTCTCGGCAGTAAAAAAAGGTGACCCCGAAGAGGTTGAACCACTTTCAGACTGGGCAAGCCATAGGAAAACCATAGGAAAACCCATAGGAAAATGGAGATTTACCCTCTGGTAAACTAACGTAACTATGGAAAATCACCATGCTATTAATGGGTAATTATCGATGTAAATGCACTATTTCTATGGTCATTTTCAATAGCTATATATGTTAATTTACCAGAGGGTAAATGATTTTCCACCAGGTTCACAAAAACATGTGTAACATGATTTTGATTGATGATATTGATGTTGTCTCTGAAAAATCTCTGCCAACTTGCCAATTATTCTCCCCAAATGTATCTGGAGGGAGCCTGACTGATGAAGCAAGGTCGTGAATGCAGCGAAGCAAGCTCCGTTTCTTTGGTGGCAACTGTGGCAGACCACGGTTCCATTTGGGGCTGTCCGGTGCGGACACCCCGGAAGGATAGGCAAGTTGGGGCACGTTGGTAAACATGACGAGGCGAAGGTCCGATTGTATTCTGGATAGGAATCTTCCTGCTGTAACGGGCGTCAGGGATAAATGGGGGAATGTCATAATGTCATTGCTGGATCTCTTTCCGATCACCAGAAAGCCTGGTTTTGTATTGAATACTTGAATATGTTCATGTTGAGGTCCTATGTTTATTTCTGGGGTATGGGATTAATAACAAGTTTTTTTTTCGGAAAAACATGTTTATGGAAACCGTCATTGTTGCGAACATCTCCGATGCAATTTATACAATTTGTTCTACTGCAATCACTGGTGACCCAGTAGCGGAACTGGAGCTATTGATCATGTCCACAGAGCCCCTCAACTGGTTTTATCATCTTTAAGTTTCATCCCATAAGTGGATTACAGTCCCATTACTACAAGTCAATCAGTACCCTTGTTCGATATATCATGACATATCTCTCGGTTGGTGGCCTTCTAAACTGTATGCTTACTTTGATATTTCCAAGTTCGGTGATATTCTTAGATGCAAAACAGAGCCTGATGATGCAAGTTGGCCCAGTTATTCGCATGCGAGTATCTGTGTACCCTCTGGTTATGACTAACATAGCCATGGTATAGATGACCCATTTATAGCTGGTTTACCTATTAAAAATGATGATTGCCCATAGCAATGTTAGTCATAACCAGAGGGTATATTCTCGAACACAGGTCCCAGTGTTTTCCAGGGATTCCCTTCCGCCTTTTTGCAGAGCTGAGCAGCTGAGATCAGCTGAGGCTGGTACAATAGATGCATACCTTCCCAACAGAGGAGATCAAGGCGGGAGTTCACCATTTGTTTTCACCATCGAAGTGGGAAAAAAACAGGAAACATGTGGTAAAATAGTGATTGATATAGTGATGTTATATGATATTATAGCGATTCCCAATGGGAAACCAAGAAAGATTGGGGCTCTGCCTCTGGTCATTGCACAGTTTGCGAACTGGAACATCACCATTTCTTGCAACGGTCAATCATCGACGAAATGGGGCATGTTCCAGCCTTTCCAGGCTTTACATACCATGTAAAAACCGTTGGTTTCTCATGTGTCCATGATTCATATGGTGCTTTTTTGTTGCAGTATCGGTCAGCGGTTCTTCGGAATGGGGGAATGTCATAATTTCATTGCTGGATCTCTTTCCGATCACCAGAAAGCCTGGTTTTGTATTGAATACTTGAATATGTTCATGTTGAGGTCCTATGTTTATTTCTGGGGTATGGGATTAATAACAAGTTTTTTTTCCCGAAAACATGTTTATGGAAACCGTCATTGTTGCGAACATCTCCGATGCAATTTATACAATTTGTTCTACTGCAATCACTGGTGACCCAGTAGCGGAACTGGAGCTATTGATCATGTCCACAGAGTCCCTCAACTGGTTTTATCATCTTTAAGTTTCATCCCATAAATGGATTACAGTCCCATTACTACAAGTCAATCAGTACCCTTGTTCGATATATCATGACATATCTCTCGGTTGGTGGCCTTCTACGAAGACTGTACGCTGGAAGTTATATGAGTTTACAGATTTAGACGAGTTACAACATGTATATAAACCTTCTATAACATGTCTATAACCTGCTTGCAAGTATGTAAAGTGTCATAACATTTGATAAGTAATTTGTAAGTTTAGCTAGCCGGCTACGAGAAGTTGTAAATGTTTAGGTAAAATATAAATGGTTAATGAACTTATCGTAAGTATCTTAACTGCATGTTTTCTTTTTATAACTATGTTAACAGACTTAACATAAGTATGTAGGAAAAGTTATCATAAGTTATCTGAAAGTTAACAAAAGTTATAAAAAGTTATAAAAAGTTACAAAAAGTTAGTATAAAGGTACATAAAGTTAAAAATATGTTTACAAGAGGGCAATGAAAATGTTTATTTATTTTACATTTTTCGAGAGTTTCATTAAGTTTGTGACAAAGCTTGTCAACATTTATACAGGGTGAAACAATCTTTCTGTATGTGGAAACGATGTTGTTCGCAGGCAATTTTTTTGTGAAGACAGGTCCTGTAAAGGAATCGGTGTGAAAAAAATGAGGTCCTGGAACGGACATGGTTTGAAAAAATGGTTCCTGTAAAGGATTCTGTTTGAAGAAATTGTTCCTGTAAAGGACATGGTTTGCAAAGACTGTTCCTGTGAAGGATGTGGTCTGTAAAGACATTTCCTGTAAAGGATCGAATGTTTGAACTTGTAATATCTAATGCTTGTAAAGGACCTGGTCTTGGAAGATATTTCTTGCAGAGAAGGTCTGGTTTTTTCTATCAATATGCAAACAGTGTGTGTTTGTGTTAGCTGCATTGCCTCTCAAAGTAAAAGCACCAGCGCGTCCGTTCGATTAAATACGATGTCTACGGACAGCTACATGTTGGCCCTTGCTGCGGCAGCGTCGCCACTTTTGGAGCTAGCCAAATCTTTGCCGGAGAGCCTCGAGGCTCCCGGAGAGGAGACGGTGGATCAGCCGCCCGCAGAGGCTGGAGATGGCGAGCATGCGGCCCGCGAGAAGGAGCAGGCGACGGAAGAGAAGATGACGGAGACAGAGACCGAGAAGGTAGAAGAGGCCATCAAGAAGCCAGACCGAAAAAGGGTGACCGGTAAGTCTTCTGAAGCGTCTGCTCCGAGCAAGAAGCAGAAGTAGATGGCAATCAGCGCGGGCAGGAAAAGGAATGCGTGCCGGAGGTGTAGGGTCACTTCTGAAAAGACGGTTCCTGGAAAGGATCGAGTCTGAAAAGACAGTTCCTGAAAAGGATCAAGTCTGAAAAGACAGTTCCTGAATAGGATTTAGTCTGAAAAGACAGTTCCTGAAAAGGATCCATTCTGAACAGATATTCCCTGAAAAGGATGAAGTCTGAAAAGACAGTTCCTGAAAAGGATCAAGCGCGAAGAGACATGTCGTGCACGGGAAGAAGTTCGACAAACCTATTCCTGAGAAAAAATTCTTTGTCGCATGATATCGTTCAGACACATTGAATGGGCAGCAGATATCCGCTTGCATTTTGGATCTAGTTTTTTTTCTGCAACAAGAGCTCACTAGCACCGAAGGACAAAGGTCTATAGAAAGAGCCATGAGCCAAATTGTTGCTTCGCTGGAAGCCTGTGGCCGCTACTTGGAGACCATGAAGACGTTTCCTAGCTTTATGCAAGCTAAGGAGAGCCAACTGTCTTCTTTGACGTGTCAATTTGGTCGGCATAGTTGGTCGCTTTCTGAAGGCTCTGAAGCATTGGAGCTCTTGCAGCGCCAGGCCATTTGGAATGAGACGGAACGAAGCTCTTTGGCATTAGCCATCCAGAATGGTCTTTCTGCACGTGCTGCAGCAACTTCCAGGCAAACTATGCAAGACTACACCAATGTCATTTTGTACCTTCCAAAGAGCATTTGGGAGCAGCTGATGAATGCTGATCTCACTTTCCAAGCCAAAGCGAATCTGCTTGGCGTCTTCGCGACGACTTTGGGCATGAGGACTCCGTCCGAGGCGACAAGTCAGATGATGACTGCTTTGCTGTTGGCATGTCCAGGTGGAAGAGAGTTAGAATTGAAGTGCTCCCTGTCACCCGTGCAGTTGCACGAGTTGTTTCTCTTGGTGAAGAAGGAGCTTCGATCGAGCGTTGCTGCCGCAGGGACTTCAGATGCATTGCCGCATGTCGAGAAATTGCCGACAAATCCAGCACAGATGGATCCTCGTTGGCTTCAACGTGCTCTGGGAGCAGAACCGGTTGGACAATGTCCTTTGAACTTGTCTCAGGTGGCCGCTCGGGCAGTGACCATT